GGAAACGCCGGACCACCGACACCCGTGCACGGTCGGGGGTCCGGCGTTCCCGAGCCGCCCTGCCCCCTCCGCCCTTTCCGCACGGGGGTCCGGCGTATTAGAAACGTCGGACCTCCGACACCCGTGCACGGTCGGGGGTCCGGCGGATTGGAAACGGCCTACACCCTCCGCCCTTTCCGCACAGGGGTCCGGCGGATTGGAAACGCCGGACCTCCGGGACCCGTGCACGGTCGGGGGTCCGGCGGATTGGAAACGCCGGACCACCGACACCCGTGCACGGTCGGCGGTCCGGCGTTCCCGAACCGCACTACCCCCTCCACCCTCTTCGTGCGGGGGTCCGGCGGATTGGAAATGCCGGACCATCGACACCCATGCACGGTCGGGGGTCTGGCGTTTCCGAACCGCCCTACCCCCTCCGCCCTTTCCGTACTGGGGTGCGGCGGATTGGAAACGCCGGACCACCGACACCCATGCATGGTCGGGGGTCCGGCGTTCCCGAACCGCCCTACCCCCTCCGCCCTTTCCGTACGGGGGTCCGGCGGATTGGAAACGCNACCGCCCTACCCCCTCCGCCCTTTCCGTACGGGGGTCCGGCGGATTGGAAACGCCGGACCACCGACACCCATGCACGGTCGGGGGTCCGGCGTTCTCGAACCGCACTACCCCTTCCACCCTTTCCGTACGGGGGTCCGGTGGATTGGAAACGCCGGACCACCGACACCCGTGCACGGTCAGGGTTCCGGCGTTCCCGAACCGCCCTGCCCCCTCCGCCCTTTCCGCACGGGGGTCCGACGACCTGGAAACGCCGGACCTCCGAAACCCCTGCACGGTCGGGTTTCCGCCGTTCCCGGACCGCCCTACCCCTCCACCCTTTCCGTGCGGGGGTCCGACGGATTGGAAACGCCGGACCACTGACACCGGTGCATGGTCGGGGGTCCGGCGTTCCCGAACCGCCCTGCCCCCTCCGCGGCTCCGCCCTTTCCATACGGGGGTCCGGCGGATTGGAAACGCCGGACCTCCGACACCCGTGCACGCTCGGGTACGGCGGATTGGAACCGCCCTGCCCCCTCGACCATGCACGGTTGTCTGGTATGCAGCGTTCCCGATTTCGCAAACCCCCCTTGCCGAAAGGATGGCGGGCGTATGGCGGGTCACGTGCCTTCTTGAATGTCTCGGACCACGTGCAAGTGCTTTTGTGTGTTGCTCATTGCAGTTCTCCTGCCCGTCCTTGTTTTGCCCTTGCACCCGGCAGGTAAATCTGGTGCGCCGACCTCTGCTCAAAATAAACAGTACGGCAGGTCTAAGACTTACAACAACAAACCGTGGGCTCTTGACTGGTAGGCGGTTTGCATAAACCGGGGTGTGGGGCTTTATCTTCTTGAGCGATGACAATGGCGCCACTTGGTACTATTGTGGGGGTGTGAAGAAATCCGAGGCGGGCAGGAAGACCTACGAAGGGAGGACGTTCAGGACCTTCTTCCTCACGTCCGTCTTCGACAGCGCTGGGACAGACTGGGTCAAGGAATACAAGAAGGTCTCCGTTGACCTGCGTCTCTTCCAAGGATATGGCGTCAAGGCATGCCCCATGAAAGCGTTTGACGTGCGTGGGGACGGAACTGAATTCCGCATACTTTCTCCGGAAGAATTTCTCAGCAAAACAAACTCTAAGCGCGTCACTGGCTGCCTTCCTGTCGTCAACAGTTCTTTCAAGATGAGCGAACCTTTGGTCCAATTCAACAGTCCGATGGACCTGCTGCCAGGTGTGGTTAAGCAGTACAGGGAAGACTTCTCGAAGCTGCCGCCAGACCAGCAAGCGGACTGTGTTTTTTTGCCCTTCGAGGCGGGTTCCAAGAGCAGGCGACAAATGCCGTCCGCAACAACAGGGAAGACAAAGCAGTTGCCAGGTGGGCCGTCGGGCGCGAATCTTCCCTCGCCCTATGTGAAGGGAGGTCGTGATTTTGCTCAAGGTTCAAGCGAGGCAACGGAGTTTGATGACAGGCTTCTGCACCAGCGCAATGTTGGCCGTGAAAATTCTCAGGGCAGTGCAATTGCCCTAGACAAGGACAACGACGAGGACAAGGAAGGACGAAGTGCTGGCCCGCATGACGACGGAGGTAATGAAGTAGATGTGGAAGTTGGGGATGACAACATGCAGGACCGGGGCGCGCTTGCTGACGAGGACGCCGACACGCCAATGCATGGTCATGACATCTCGCCCGTCCGCGCTGTGGGAGCCGCACGTTGTCACCCCTCGACGTCCCGTGGGATTTCGCTATCGCAAAGCAGGAGTAAGGGTGGGCACGACTCACATGCAATGCAAGGACCGAAGGCGAAGAAAAGGACAAGGGAGACTTCTCCGTCTGCTTCTACTCACAAGAGGCAAGCCAGGACTGACGCTGTGAATGAGGCTCGTGGAGCTTTGACAGCGTCCCAGGAGGCGCGGCCTCCTCGGAAAAACAGCCAAGGGGGGCGATCTGGGGGTCAAGGCGGTGGCCGTGGCGGGGCGCGGAAAGGCTCCCAGAGGGKGAGACCACAAGAGCTGCGGGACTCGGGGGATGAGGGCGAGGGAGTGGATCCTCGCATGCCCGAAGATGTTGATGAGCCGGTTCAGCGCGTCGCGCCCATCGACACTACGCGTTGTTTCTTCCTCGAATATGATGACCAAGGCTTTGCTACGCAAGACGTCCATCCTCTTCACGTGGATGTCGTGAGAATCAAACGCATTCCCCGCAGAAGGATTCTGTTCAACCACCGCTCGTTGTCTGAAAACATTGTGCGGGGCATCGAGAATGCCATCGAAAGCTCCGTCAGCACGGACCCAGGGGCGTGGGATAGGCTTGAGCTCGTGCTTGCACCAGTTGACCGCCATGACATTGTCGGCGGCCAGGGAAGACGGATCACGCCGACCGAATTCTTGGAAAGGAACCCGACAGAGTTCGACTGGTACGCTGTCTGTGGTCAGCATACCGTTGAGGCCATGAAGAGATTGGACAGAAAGGACTCCCCGGCAGTTAAAGTCTATGGCCTCAACGTGTACTCTAAGGTGCGGGTCGTCTATTTCGGAGATGATCAAACACGAGGGTATTTCAATGTCTCCTGCTTCGACAACACACGAGAAAATCGCTCCATGATGTTGTCATTCGAGGACGCTGTCCGTGACATCAGGCAATGGTGGATAGAAAACAATAGAATCGAGGCCCCGAAAGCTAAGGTCAGCGAGAAGGATGCGGTGGCCGTTGCACATCAGAAGACGTGGCAGAACTTCTTGAGGGCCTGCATGCGGAAGGCATGCGACAAGTCGTTTGTAAAGCAAGCTCTCGAGAATGAGTACAGTAAGGATTGGAGTAATAAACTCCGGGGCTACATGAACCTCGCCACATCTAGTGACGCAGTGTGGCCGCTGGTCGAGAGGTTCTTCGAGATGTTCAACGAAGGAAAGCTGCCAGTTGGCGATGGCAAAATCCCGCTTGACATGCCCGGGAGGATGAAAGGCCGCCTGCCAGGCCCGTACACCGAGGAGACCAAGGGACAAAGAACATTGTACAATTGCATATATGCAACATATGGTCCCAAAGGCTCCAACGTGTCGTGGAAGGATCTCTGTCCTTTCTACTTCAAAAATTTTAGGGATTTGACATGTCGTGAGAGGAAGGTTGCGTTGCTTCTGCTCATGAAGGGGAAGGTGGTCGCAACGAACGTCAAGGTCTTGCCTCCAAGAGTGAACATAGAGAGCCTCCTCGACATCATGCGAAAGGAGCGGTACATGGTGCGTATGTTCAATTATGTTCTGTTCCTCGCCGAGGGAAGGGCGGACGACGAATGGAACGACGTGTTCTTCATGTCGTACAAGGACCTTGAAGACAAGTATGGGCCAAACGGTCAATGCGTTGCTGAATGAGAGAAGGAACGAGACAAGTTACAAGTTAATAAGGTGAAGATGGTCCCTCGACGACTTGGAGGAGTGGAGGAGGCACGGCAAGGTGCGGGCTTGGGGCCTACGACGGCAATGTATAAGGAGGCCCCGTTCCACCTTAAGGTCTTCATATACATTGCAATCGATAAGCTCGATTTGCTTCGTGCCGAGGTGAAACGGATCACCTCCAGCGCGCGTCATATTGTGTGGGACAAGTTTGACAAACAAACGACATTGCTATCTGTGTGCATGCCATCGAAGGAAGTGTTGGCAGCGCCAGACGACATCGTCGCTGCAGTGCAAAAAATGACATGCAGAGCCGCTATCGTGGACATCCCATCCTCGAACTTCAGCACGGCGTGGACCTTTCACGAATTTGATGCCTTGCACACATTGATGACCAAGTGTTGTGGCCACAATTGGGTGCTTTTCTTCTTTGCGCCGCAGAAGGTGCAAAGCGATATTCTGCGTCACTTGTTCCGCTGGGAGGACGTCGAAGTCATCCCCGGACCTGAAAACGGGTGGACAGGCCACCGAACGACATCACACGATATGGCAATATGGCTACATCGAGTCGAGATATGATGGCCATTGTCCTGCACGCCGAGAGAGGGGATCTCAAAAAAGTAACTGTCAAACCCCGACTCCACAACGACCTTACAACCGTGCACGTTGTGGAGGAGAAGTTCGAAAAGTATCAAGGAAAACAAGGTGGGATGGAGGGCGATGATAGTGCGGTGTATTCCATCTGGGAGCGAGAACCTGGAAAGTTACGTTCGTTGTGCGGGTCATTTGTCGGAGACGCGGAAGGTGTGTTTTTGTTGCGTAGAGCGCACGCAGGTCTTGTGTGGGAGTTATTACTGGCAGGTAATAATGTCATTGCCTGCGACGAGTTGGCCAAAGACATTGCATATCTGACAAAGTTCGTCGATATACTTGTGAAAGATGAGAGATTCGACTGTCATGTCGAGAAGCCACGTTGCAAACATCGTAGCAACAGGGACATGTTCCACAAGTTGGGACGCAAGAAACTGAAGGTGTGGGAATACCTGTTCCGCGATGCGTCGCAAGGACGGCTTGGCGGGAATTACATCTACAGGAGAGCAAAGGATACAGAGACCCTGAAACATTACCACGGTGCTCTTACTGGGGCCTTTTAGACTTTGGTTGCTCGATGCGAGATCCTGAAGTTCGATCTTCATAAAGACCAGCTGACGTCCAAAGACTACGCTGACCTCGCGAAATCGGGTGACGGCTTTAACCCCGTCGACAGCGAGGAAGACTCTTCGGAGTCCGACCTCGAATTGGACAAGGACAAGGGTGGTGAAGGTCCGACCGGTGGCATGGTGCGGTCACACGATGAAGGGACCGTTCGCTCGCATGAAAGACCCGTACCGGTGGCCGCCGACAATGTTGGCTCGATGGTGAACCCCATGGAGGGCACCGGTTTGCCAAACATGGGAATATGTGGTCCCAATTATGAAGATGACATTGATATGCCAGGCGAGGCGTCGAAGCTCGCACCAGGCGATTCAATTCCTCCCGGCTATTGTGCTGATCCGACCACAATTTATTTCTTGGGGGGCAAACACGCTCGCACTGGTGAGGACAAGTGGGGCCATGACATCGTGTGGCATGAGGGCATTTTTGAGCCTTGCATCCAAGATGGGGAGTGGAAGATGGTGGTCAAATACACACGCGGATGACAGACATTTCGCCGGATGTCAAAGGACACTTGGTTGAAAACGACGGAACTCGCGATTATGTATCGCGTGCAAAAGGAGAATTCGGGGCAGAGCGAGGGCGCTGTCAAAGAGAAGGCCAAATAATTGTTTTCTGTATTGCGAGACAGTCAGCAGTTGGAGTACAGTTCGAAATTTTACGCACTGCGAACGAGTCCCTCATGTGGGTCAATCGACTGGAAGGTCAATCAAACTATCGAAACCATGGAGGAGAGCAGCTCTCAGGATGCCGTGCCTTTGTCAGCATCGCCCCCCGTACCCACGCAGGCAAGGCAGAGGGAGGATGACGGGACTACTGTGGTGAAGACTCAAGAGGTTTACATGACGTCTATGCCGTAAATCTTCGTCGCCACGACAAAACTGTCCGAACGCATGGATGAGGCAAACGCATTGTCGTCAGATGCAGGTGCGACGTACGAGAGTTTATTACTGACATGCGCCGCATTAGATGGCCTGAGCTGCCGGACAGTCAGTTGCAACCAGAGTTATGCACAGGCAAAGTGATGCACAATCACCGCTGACACCACAGGGAGGGGCCGTTGCCGATGGTGGGAAGGGGGGGGATGTGGAGGGAATCCTCCATCCTCACAATCTTGATACCTTAACCGATGATTTTGATTATGGGGGTGAGGGTGAAAATGATGTGGTCAATACGACGGGAGTGTGAAATGATCGGTGAGGCGGGAGGGGGGCAATGGAGAGGGAGAAAACAACGATATGATTACAATGTTATTCTTTTCTTTGTTGATTGAAATCGCACAATTGACTCGTTTGTTTTTAGTTTTAAATGAAACTAGTATTATTTTTTCGTTTGTTTTTAGTTTCAAATGGAAGTAGTATTATTCTTCGTTTGTTTTTAGTTTCAAATGGAACTAGTATTAGTCTTCGACCAGCTGATTTTCGTTTATGTATATATATTTTTTCCCTCAATATTACGTTCGACCTAAGATGTTTAGGATACTTGCCCTTTTCGACGTGGATGTGTGTATGCAGATGTATTCAGACTTGGATCTCTCTCTCTCTCTCTCTCTCTCTCTCTCTCTCTCTCTCTCTCTCTCTCTCTCTCTTTTTTTTGTTTTTTTTTTTTTTTCTCTCTCTCTCTCTCTCTCTCTCTCTCTCTCTCTCTCTCTCTCTCTCTCTCTCTCTCTCTCTCTCTCTCTCTCTCGTTCCGACTTGGATGTGTGTATGCGGACGTATGCAATGAGGGTGCCCAAGGTGCGAGGAATAAATGATTGATTGTATATGTGAATGTCGTAAACGCAAGTAAAAGATCATAGAAACATTGAAAACATGCGTTGCATGTATTAACTCCCACAAAGCATTTGACCATGCACTCACCATCCTTTCCCCATCCGCCCGCGTGAATGTCGTCTTACTCATGTTTGTGGTGTGCAGTGCAAATGACAACAACTGATACAAGATTGTGCAAAAGAGGATGGACAATGCATCTCGCAACTTCGTCTTTATCAAAGAGGGAGACGGCAGCCTTGACGCGTATCATCCGCGAATACGGGAATAGGTATCCCATAGCCACCACACACGACGTATACATGAACGAGGTGTTGCAACTCACTCGCAACGATTTCCTTTTACTCGCTGTAGAACGCCAGTGGTTAAACGACAATGTCATCAACTTTTACCTCAATCTCATAGCAGTGGACAACTGGTGTAGAACACAACACGTAGAATGCGATGCGGAGAATGAGATAGTTATTAGAGAAGGAAAGGGTCGCATTCCTAGAGTATCGGTGCTGAGCTCATTTTTGTTCGTCAAACTTTTCGACAATAAAATGAGATATAGCGGTCGAGAGGTAGAACGCTGGTGTCAGAACGTTATCATAAGTGACATGGACTTGATTATTGCTCCTTTCTATATCGAACACAAGAACCACTGGACCCTTGTCGTGGCTGACTTCAGGAGGAGGAAATTCGAATTTTACGACTCCCTGGACTCCGACATGGAGTTGGCGAGAAAGGTGAGCGGCGGGTTTGCAAAGTTTATATTCGAAAGATCGAAATCGCAAGGCAAAGAGGTGGACACGAAACCATTCAATCACATATGGAATGTAGAGGGCATTCCGAAGCAACACGACACAAACGAGTGCGGGGTCTTTGTGCTAACGTACACATCACTTTTGGCACGGGACCAACTTCCACCTTTCGTTTTCAGTGCTGATGATATACCCGCCATACGTCGTCGAATGGCTTTGGACACAGTGGCTCGTGAGTAGTGTGTATATGATAATCCATAATATGATTTGGAGGGGGGGGGGATGCCACAAGATGGTTTGTGACAAAAACAATGTATATAAGATGTCAAATATTACTCAATACGTTGTGCCACTTAACCCTTGCAATTTACCACATATCCCTTTCACCTCACCCCTTACACCTTACCCCGTTCACCTCACACCTTGCCCCTTACACCTTACCCCTTACCCCTTACCCCTTACCCCTTACCCCTTACACCTTACACCTTACACCTTACACCTTACCCCATATACCTAACATCTCTTTGTAATGGTTTTTGCACCTAAATCAGCTCAAAAATGACAATTTCAATTTCGTTCAAAACATATAAAATGTCCGTTTTGACGAAATCGCTGTTATAGCCAGTTGGAAGTAAACTCGTATCTGGAAACCATATCTCTGAGTTTTGAGTGGGCGCATGTCGCCTGTTTGCTGCATTGTTGTTTACATGCATGAAAAGAGTGAATAAGAATGAGTCTGATTGCAATAACAACACACACATCCTTATGCATAGCCCTTAGGTCATTTCTTCGTCAAGTCAAACCTCACACTCGCTGGGAAAGGTTTTCATTTTTTTCCATTTTTTTTCCATGAAGTTAGAAAAAATACTAATAATAATAAAAAAAAATCACAGCAGCTCTGGTCGTTAGCACGGCCATTCTTCAACACACATAGCACACGGGTTCCTTCATGAAGTCGTTATGAAAGTACCTCGGACCCTACATGCCTTGGAAGAAGAAAATTAAAAATAAAAATAAAAAAAATTTGTGCAGTCACTGAGATCATGCCTTGAACTCACCATGATACAAAGAAAGAACATTGGGATGCCCCCCCCCCACCCCACCCCTTCCCCTTGTGGAAGTATGCACGCCCATGTCGACAAACATCCCCCAAAAAATCACAAAAATGTGGTCTATAATTTCTTCCTTTCAAAAGGGAGGGGGGAAATTCGAGCACCTTACACAAGATTTGCAAGCACCATGCTAAACATCACGCGCAACGGGGATTTGTAGAAAAAA